TCACAGAATATCTGAGGCTGGGAAATCTGTAAAGGAAAGAGGTTTATTTTGGCTCATGGTTCTGGAAACTGGGAAGTTCAAGACTGAAAGGTCTCCTCTTGGCTTGTGTCACTTCGTGGCATGATGGAAATCAGAAGGGCAAATGAACACATGAAGAAAAGACAAAGCATGAGGGGTGGCTTTGTTTATAACAACCTGCTCTGTGTAATCCAGTCCTGTGAGACATACGGATGTCTCTTTAAGAGTCTAAGCATTCTCTTAAGGCTCCACCTCCAGATATAACTACCTCAATGGCCAATCAAATTTCAATATGAGTTTTGGAGAAGCCAAAACAGTAGTACCACAGCCCTCAGATGTGCTAGATCTACAAAAAGGCCACCCTATGGTGAAGAGACTGGGGTGTGACTCCTGGCGATAATCCGACTTTCAAAAGTTTGTTATGATATTTGATATGATGTCTCATGTAAACAGCCAAGTACATACAGTGCCTGCCATGTAGCAATAGATTGTGGAAGTCATTTAACTATAATTGTTCTCACCAATACAAATCCAAGAGCCTAAAGAAGACAAACTAATGTGACAGACCAAGGCTGGACTCCACTCCTGAATATTTAAGACCAATTGCTGGCCAGCCATGGTGGTGCACACCTGTTATCTCAGTTACATAAAAGTCAGTTGCAGGGCCAGGAATGTAGCTCAGTGGCACAGCGCCTGCCTGACAAGTGCAAGGTCTTGAGATCGATCCCTGGTACCAGAAAAAAAAGTCCCCAGAATATAGACATAAATGTGAATGTTGAACAGTGAATCTTCTAGAAGATAACAGAGAATATCCTTGTGGCAAAATAATTCTTCTTAGGACAAAAAAGCAATAATCATAAAGGAAAAGATTACTATATTGTACTTGATTAAAATTAAGAAATTTCTAGGATTAAAAGATAAAAATGAATCTAGGAAATAATCTAAAGGAAATAATTCCTGTTACAATTTAGTCTTTTAACATTAATAGCATGTATTAATATGTAATTAACTTACTAAAAAATGAGAATTCTGTTCAACAAAGACATCATTAAAAAGGTGAGGAGGGGGCCGGGACTTAGCTCAGTGGTGCCGCCGCCTGCCTCGCAAGCTCAAGGTCCTGAGTTCGATCCCCGGTACCAAAAAAAAATTTTTTTATAAAGAAGAAGACAGTATTAGTCTTGGCAAAGATGTGAAACAGCTGGAACTCTCTCCTCTGCACTGCTGATGAGAATATGAGGGCTTGTACTTGGGAGGTGAGGCAGGAAGATCACAAATTGAAGGCCAGGCTGGGAAATTTAGTAAGACCCTGTCTCAAAATTAGATTGAAAAAGGGTCAGGGAAATAGCTCAGTGGCAGAGCACTTGTTCACTATGCATGAGGCCCTGGGTTCAATCCCCAGGACCACAAAAAAACCAAACAACAACAGCAACAAAAACCCAAAGTGCCACAAAACATTTTACCAATTAAAAATGCATTATTGTTTTATCCATTCTTTAGAATTTATGAATTCATCAATTTTATAATTTATGAATTATATTGTGGATTGTGTAGCCACAGGTCACACATAGCTTGCAAGGCTAATGAGCAATATTTGATAAACTCATCTTAGGGTTCAGTGAGCTGCAGGATGGAGTGAGTTGACCAGTAGCCCCCAAAAGAATGTATAAATCCTAACATTTGGACTTTATAAATGTGACTTCATCTGGAGGAAGGATCTTTGCAGATATAATTAGGTGAAGGATCTAATCGTCCTGGATTGACCAGGTGTTCCCTGGCTTGGATTCTTTTTTTTTTTCCCCTTTAATTTTTATTTTCTCAGGTTTGCTATGATTAAAATACATTGCTTAGGTAATAAAAATAAATGATTAAAATTATATCTTAAACCCAAGAGAAAAAAATTCCAAAACAAGCTTCATAGACTGAAGCAGGCGAGCAGGCAGGAGCACCAGCACCACTGCCAGGAGCATCCACCTGGCCAGAGCATTGAGCTGCCCCAGAGCCAGGGAGCTGCCTCCAGCACCATCAGAGAGTCTCACAGCAAAGGCAAAAAACGCAGCATCTTGAGAATGCTTCTTGTGCTCCTTAAGAATTTAAAGGTCAGAGGTATTTAAGTGGGATTTAATTGTAGACTGAAAGCAAAATGCCAAGTTCTATATTGTTCTTAGCCAGGAGAGAGGGACACCAGCCCACTGACCCAGGCCAAGAGCCACACAGGGCAGTTACAAGAGCCAACAATTCTCATCCCAGGGTCCAGTTTCAGAATTCTAATTCATAATTACTTATAAAAAGATATACTAGGGCCAGGGGTGTAGCACAAGGGGTAAAGCATATGCTCAGGAGGCACAAGGTCCTTGGCTCAATCCCTAGCACCCTAAAAGAAAATGATTACTAAAAAAGATACATTAGGGAATAGTGAGGAAAATATGCTATAGAAATATACAAGCTCCAAAGGGCTTCCCACATGGGTCAGCTCTGTGCACCAGAGCATCTGAGGTCTTCACCCTCCAAGGCTCTCACCGCAATGCCAAGCCTTGGAAAGTGGCCCTGTTGTGTTTCTATAGCCCAGCTAGATGGTATCTTCCCTCTCAGCCTGCTCAGCCTCGTGGTATGTTAGGTAGACACTGCACAGCTCCTCAGTAGTGGTGCTCCTGCAGCCCATCTAGGCGGTGTATCTTCTCTCTCCTTCCTGCTTAGCCTTGTGGTACTTGAGGTAGTCACTGTGCAGCTCCTTAAAGATGTCTCTCGCTCCAGCCTGCAGTGAGGCCCAAAGGAACTGAATATCAGGCTCAGTGCACAAATCCAGGATGAGGTAAATCTGGCTTGGATTCTTATGAGAGAAGAAGAGGGGAAGACACAGAGAGGAAAGGACAGGTTCACGTGAAGATGGAAGCGAAGATTGGAGTGATGAAGCCACAAGCCAAGGGATAGGTGAAGCCACCAGAAGTTGGAGGAAGCAAAGCAGGCTTCTGTCCTGGAGGCTTTGGGGAAACGTTATGATTTCAGGCTTCTGGAATCCAGAATTGTGACAGGGTATGTTTCTGTTCTAAGCTATGCAATCTATGGTAATTTGTTATGACAACCACAGGAAATGAATTTTCAAAGACTAGGAACGCACTGGAATCGACTTTGACTACAAGCGAGTAGTGGGAGGGGTTTTTGAAGGAGAACTTGAGGGAATGTTATGGATTCCAAGGACAGGAAGTTCGACTGGCCTCATAAGGAAGAAAGTCCAAGACCAGACAGTTAGGAATGGTCTGCATGACTCTCTCCTTCATGGACCCCTAACCTCCCCTCTCTTGCCATTCTTCCTTCCTCATGTACAGGCTGGGAGTTTCTGGTTCTTCATGCTGCCAAACCTTCAACCTGACCTGTCCTGCTATCCCATTCCCAGTGTCAAATGGGTCAACAAATGGCTCTGTGGCCTGGTCCAAATTCAAGAGAGAGAGAGACAGAGAGAGAGAGAGAGAGAGAGAGAGAGAGAGAGAGAGAGAGAGAGCGTGCATATGGATCACTCATCCTCGGGCCAATCAGTTATTCTCAGGGGACCATTTCTTGAGTCCAGGGCCTTCCTCTGGGGGTCAGGAGGTCGTGATCAGTGTCCTTGGTGGTTTCTACTTGAGTCCCAAGAAAAGTCTTGAAGGGCAGACCACCAACAAACTGAGCTCCTTCTCTCCCCCAGGTGGACAAGTCAGGGAGAATTAATCATATCTTTCTCACTGTGTTAGATGATGTCCTTGGCCTTCTAACCTTCAGTTTCCTCAAACTCTTTTCTCTAGCAATATAACTTCGTCGTATTACCCAGGGGGAAAGAACAGCTGAAAATCTTTCCATTTAGATTCTCTTCCCGTTCCAAACATGAAGTTAATCTGCTAGAACTAGTAGATACTAGTAGGATCTACTAGATTCTACTAGAATCTGCTGTTGGCCTAATATTTGCCTTGTTTTGGATTCAAACCTTAACACAATTTCTGGTTTGTTATTTTTTCCCATTGTCTTCATGTGTTCCTTGAGGACAGGTGTACGTGAAATATTGGAAGTCAGAGGGCTTCACCTTTGACTGTAGTATTTTGCATGAGCAAAGCTAAGCCTCAATGGAAATAGCAAAGGAAGCTAGGCAGGGGTGGGCATAACCGGAGTAGTGGGTTCTGGGGGGAGTCCCCTTTCAGAATGTTTATTCTGCTGTCAACGAGAACTTGTTGAGGGTTTATAAGGGCTGAGTATGGGCTAGAGTGAGGATTCCAGAGATGAGCAAGCTGGATATTGTGCTCAAATGGAGCTTATGACCTTGGGAGAGGGAGGCAGAGATGAAAGAGGGTGACACAAATGCATGCACAATTGCAAGCTATAAAAGGCCTTGAAAGAGAGGCGCCTGGGCAGGTGAGAGCATAGAACTCGGCCAAGGGTCAGGGAAGGCTTCTCTGAGGAAGCGCATTTCTCTGAGATCTAAAGGATGAGTGGGTGTTTCACTGGGTGACGTGTAGGGGAAGGGGAGATGTTCTAGTCAAGCGAACATTGCATAAGGGCGTTAACTATGCCCTCCAAGCAGAAACACGTCAAATGTAAATATGCACACCACAGCCCCACAGGCTTGGGACCAAATGGACAGCAGCCATTTAGGCTCTGCCTTTTTTTTTTTTTCTTGGTACCGGGGATCGAACTCAGGTCCTTGCGCTTTCGAGGCAGGCACCAGAACCACTGAGATAAGTCCCCAGCCCATAGGCTCTGCCTTTTTTTGCCACCTGCAGGCAGAAGAGGCTGCTTGGGTTCTCCACCTGGTCTTGGCCCCATGTAGTTCTCCCTGGAAGGTAAAGGTCCCTGGAATCCTGGGCTCTATTGAGTGTCCCCAAAGCTCCCTCTGTGTCATCCTCATCTATGAGGACATTGGGTCTGAAGGGCCTAAGCAATCAGAAAACAAGAGATTCTGTCAGAAAGAAACTTAGTTTTGAATAAAGGAGCTATTTTGTGTCCTTGTATCTTGTCAGGAAAGGATGCCCAGGGTGATTGCTCATCTGATATCTGCCCCTGTGAAGCCTGCTGGTCCCCTAGAATGCACCTGGAGGGGTAAGCTCATCTCCCCAGAGCAGGAAGAAAGGGGAAAGGGGTGGGTGTGAGGAGAAGGCACCTGACTTCTCTCTGGACACCTTATCAACTGTTTCTCCTGGACCACACCTTCCTGTGGGTCCCAGGAGCCTGGGGCCTGTCCTCATCTCAGCCCATAGCTTTTTCTACCAGTCCGCTGCCCCACAAGGCACAAAGCTCCTTGATAGGCTCTGTGTTTTCAGTGTTTATTTTGTGCCTGGCACCTGGCCTCTACAAGATAAGCATTCAATACATATTTGTTGAAAGAATAAATGCATAAGGCTTATTGATTTCTACTCTACTCCAGTCTCTGAACCTTTGAGACTGACCCAGGCTACCTAGAAAGAGGTGAACAAAATTATTACATTAAGGGTATTCTTCACATGCCTATGCACAGTAGGTGCTCAGTTGTGTCTTACTGAGTGGATGGTTGTAGATGTCTCCATGTTAATGCCCTGCGACTTGTATGTAGCACTGTTTCTTTCTTAATGGCATTGATTTTGAAACAAAGCAGCACAGTGGGGAAGCATTGAGACCTCCCTAAACTAGTTATTTCAGTGAGGCAGACAGCTCTAATTACTATTCTCTTTGTACTTAAGAGTGTACATTCTGCCCCTTCATTAAAGGAGAACATGGGCTTATCATTTGCAACTAACCTTTGTAGGTCAGAACACTGGTTCCACTATTTAAAAAATTTTTTTTAAATTCAGGAAACAAGGACTGGAAGTCCTTCGGCAAAGGCAGTTGAGGTTCCTGTATCTCTTCCTTGCATCACGAGTCCTGCCAGTTAAGATTGCACTGCACCAGGGTGGGAGGGGGTGGCAGCTAGCCAGGATGGCCTGTAGCATTTTGATAAACAAACATCAATATTTATCAGAGCTGCTCCGATGAGCTTCCTTAGCTGTAGGAGTGGGGAGTCCTCCCTGGGCTTGTGTATAGCTTTCTCTGAATGAGATAAATGTTTAGGGCCACTAAAGGGGGAAAAATATTTGTATTCTGCTCCCCAGTTACCTAGGCTAATTTACTGCTCTAGGAGATCCTGTAATTCATTAATAATATACAAATACAAATCAAGGGAAGAAATTGCCTCGTTAATTGACTTTTGCGATGCTAATCTAAGACTCACTGGCTTTCAACATTATGCAACAACTGTGTTTGTATCACACAGGAACAACTGCCTTCAGAGAAAGCAGAAAGCCACTAAAGCAGATGCTTGAAATCTTTGCTGGAGGCCTTGTAAAAAGTTATGCACTTGTCTTAGTTCTTTTGAGGAATCTGGAGGTAAAGAACACAAAGCGAAAGAGACAAGAGACAGTGACAGACTGAACCATTGGAGAATATAGCCCAGAGGTGGGATGAGAGAAGGCCTCACTGGGCTGTGCTGGGCTGTCTAGGCTGCAACTAGCTTCCCTGCCCCAGCCCATAAAGCTGCAACAAGACTGATTAGAAATGATACAATTAGACTCAGGTGATTAGTTCAAGTAGAAGCAAAGTTCATCAGTCTTAAATCTCCAAATCTGCTCCATATCTGTTCTCAGCTGATATCCCTGGGCTAGCCTCTGTGTCTTCTTGTCCTCTCTGATCTGTGCCAGTGGAGGAGACATGGAACTTTTGCGACAAGTTGAACAACAGTGATCCTCAGTAATGAGGTTTCACAGGCCAGCCTGGGCAGATCCAGTTGGATGTGGATTTGAGTCTTAGCCACACTCTTTCCTTCTGCAATGCCAGGTACATACCCCCACAAATCTGGAAGCTGGAGTTTCAAGTTCATGGTTGTGATCTAGACATTAGCAACTTAGAAGGCTCCAGCACAACTTTTGCTCCAAGTCTGCTTTGGCCACCGGATGAAGAATCCGGCTCCTCCCAGAAGAAGCTCCTCACCATGGCTCCCATGAGGATTTTATGGCCGGTTGCACAAGAGAGACAAAGGGCGTCTTTAAATTACACAATCCCCAGCATACAGCCTTGGTCCCATTGGTTGATTTTTCTATTTTCCCCATGGTTCTCCTTGATTGCTTTGCCTCTGGGACTTTTCCCCTTTGACCCAGCCTTTTGGAGCTTCTTAATTCTTCCTGTTCTTGTCCTTCTTGATTAAAAGAGTAAAAGAGAGAGAAACTGGATCCAGAGAATGAAGATTGAGAATCACTTTTATTTTCTGTAAGATGGAGATGATAATTCCTATCTCAGAAGGTAACAGGGAGAATTAAATGGGAATTAAGTAAATGTGAACTATAAAGCAATACTTTTCAACTATGGTGCATGAAATCAGTTTAATGGGTTGCTACCAGCATTAAAATGAAATAGGATAAAGTGGAATAGAAAAAAAGTGCATGGAGTAGGGGTAAGTTCTGTTTTGCAAATCTCTTTCCTTTCTCCCAGCACTAGGGATTGGACCCAGGGATGCTCTAACACCGAACTATATCCCAACTCTTTTTTTGTTTTTAATTTTTAAAATTTTGAGACAGGCTCTACTAAGTTGCCTGAGCTGCCCTCAAACTTGCAATCCTCCAGCCTCAGCTTATCAAGTAGCTGGGATTATGAGTGTACATGTCTTCTTAGTTTCATATAACTCTGTGCATGCATGTGTGTGTGATCACTGGCAATGTAAAATGGACCTTTACAGTAGGTTATGATAAAAAAGTTTGAAAAACATTTCTCTAAGAGCTATGTGGATGAAACTATTTCTCATTGACATTTATCTTAGCTTTGAGGTGCTGATCTCTGAGACTTAGTCCAAAACCCTGATGTTGGAAAGATCAGAGACCCCCCCAATTCTAGTCCCCAGCCAGGGGGAGAATGACATCACATCAAAGACAGCTTGGGGACCTAATTCTGTTAACAGATATTTTTGTTAGGGGCATGTAGCATTCATAACAATTTTTTGAATTAGTTACTAGCATCTGAAAATGAAGGGGTTAGATTTTTAAAAACCTAGATAATACAACTTCTCTGGAGATTTGGAGATTCCACCACACCGGGTGTCTTCCCCACAGCCCTCACCTGCCTCTGTCCTCCTCCATCCTGCTAGACAGATTCTGAAAGCTTTCTGGGTTCTTGAGTCTCAGTGGACTCCATGGGGCAGAGTGGCTGCACACTCCTTGCCCTGGAGTCCTTTCGTAGCGAAGGCTCAGTGTTTGTTCTGAAGAACCACAAAGCTGGACTGTCTGCATGGTTCTTTTGGTCCAAACCTTTGTTTTTCAGTAGAATAAAGAGGCCAAGGAAGGAGGAGGTGATTCAGCCAAGGTCACACGGATCACTGATGTGGGTGGGGAAAGAATTCAGGTCTCTCTGTGGTTCAGGGCTTCTGTTCAGCTGCCATTTTCTTCATAGAGAGCGAGGCTTCCACAGAAATGTGCTGGATTTGCCTCAAAGGACATCATCAAGTCTTGCCTTTTTCCTCTGGCCTTAGCCACGGCAAATATTTACCTCACACAACTGAAATTAGATCTAGAATGGTTTCTCCTCACCTTACCCAGTATGTAGACGTCTCTGTCTTTGTTCTCTGTGACTTCCTTGTGGTCTTGCTGTGGCTGCAGCTGCCTCAGAGCAGCTTCTGCAAATGGAAGACACCCAGGCAAAGGGACTGCCCAAAGTAGGCATTCGGAAAGGATGCACATCTATCTCCTATTTGCTTCACCTTGGCCTTTGCTCAAGGTCAGAGAAGAGCAGCTTGGGGAGCATTTTTTGTCAAGCACAGTCATAGGTAATGTTACATCAGCAGCATAACCTACAAGACAGGTCTCTACATGTCACCTCTAACCATCCCAGGTAGAAGGTCCAGGGCAGCCCTGGTGGGACTGTTTGCAGAGGGGAAGCCACCCTGTACCAGGTACTGCACTGAGGCTGGACAAATATCTTTGATTGTTTTAATTTTTAAAGTTATTTTTACATAATCAAAATACACAAAATAGAAGGAACAGTGTAACAAACTTCTATAAATTATCACTGATTTGGTATTTATCAAGATTTTGCTATAATGTTTCCTAACGTCTCTTTTTAAACTTTTATTCTGATGTAAAATATGAGTAAATATATGCAGTAAAATGCATCAATCTTAAGTGAACAGATTGATGAATTTTAAACTTTTACTATTTTGAAATAATTACATAGAGGGAGAAGCAAAAATAATACAAAGAATTCCTGCATCCTCTTCACTAAAACTCCCCACATATTAACATTTTTACACAATTGTTTCATCATTTTATCATACTTTATAGATACATACTGTTGTTAATATTTTTCTGTATACACAAATGCTATCTACTTTCTGAACCATTTGCAGGTAGATGATTTTGAGAAATGTTTTTGCCCATGTTATCATCACTCAAACCAAGTAGGATTGTGGAACATTTTCTGTACTCCAGAAAGCTCCCAGGTGCCCTTTTCCAAAGACAATCAATGCTCTTATTTTTATCACCATGCATTAGATTTGCGTGTTCCTGAATTTGACGTAAATGGACTCATTCTGTACTTTATTTTTTGCTGGATTATTTTAAAGCAAACATCAGATCTTGGATGCTTTCATCTCTCTGTACATCCTGTAAGTATCTCTACAAGTGACAAGCATTTTCTTACATACGCACAATACCATTGTGGTATGTAAAAGGTCATCAAAACAAGCTATTATGATCATTTCTATTTCAAAAATGAGTGGATGGACTCAAGGAGGAGGAAGAACTTGCTCCAGGAAATAGACGGAGAAGCCAGCAGTCTTTTGTCTGAGTCTGTACCTTTGGGGCTGAGTGTCTGCTGTGGACCCATCCACAGAGGGTCCCCAGCAGGGCTTTTGGCTCCCTGGAAAACAGGAAAGGCTATATCTCAGCTGACCCTTTCTCGTTCTCTATGTGGTTGTTTTCAGCTGGGCTCCCAAGGGCACCCTGTATGTGCTTACTAGCACCAGTATTTCCGATGGGTGCTGCCTGCTGCCTTGGCTGCCTCTCTCTGCAGCAGAAGAAAGGCACCATTCAGCCCCCAGGGGCCCAACAGATGGAGCCCCGCATATGTGTTTGAAGGCTGCTGAGGGCTTCCCATTCAGCACCATCTAGACTTCAGCAAGTTGCCTAGCAGAGTCATATCATCAAAACACAGAACTGACACATGCCTTTAATATTTCAGATCATATTTGCAAATGAGTTCTAATAATACACAAACTCACATTTGTACAAAAAAGAAAACTAAAACCCATAGCAACCTGTTATTCCAGGTAGGACGCAGTTAGGTAGAAACAAATCAAAAAGGGTATATTTTCCCCCTTGAATAGCAGCATAAAACTCCTCAGGAACAAATAATCTATTATAAGCTGAATCAACTTCTCATGATCACAACTTTATTTTCTCATAAATTGTAAGGTCCCTGTAGCAACTAGACAGGTCAAAGACTTAAATGTATTCACAAATCAAACCTTACACTCTTTCCGGAGGATGTATTTGTTTGGTAAAAAACATCTTTATTGGTTGTTTCTAAAACAGCTGGATGGGGCGGGGCTGTTTGAATGGAAATAGATTTTCAGCAAAACCGTATTTCCCAAACCACTTCTTTGTTCTGCATATGATGGGCCTGGTGACTGTTGTAAGGTTTTCAAGCTGTGTTCCTTTCTAGGATCAAAAGGAGGGCTTCATGGACTGGGGGGAGGAGGTGTTGACTGAGGGGGTAAGATTTCATTTAATTCTCATGCCCCCCTAATGAGTCAGGAGTTTGTCTCTCCACGTTGCAAGTGCGGCACAGGGGACTCATGAAAAACTTGACTCACTTGCCCAAGGTTAATGGATAACAGGGGCAGAACTGGGACCAAATTGTCTCCCCACCTGGAATCCCCTGATTTACATCCCAGCTTCTGGCCACGATTTTAGCTGCATGGTGTCTTCACTTTGCCTGTCACAGATCTCTTCTTCTGTCCCGCCAAGATCCTGTCACTGAAGGCAGGAAGGGGTTTTACCTGCCTGCCCCTGGGTGGAGAAGCCAGCAACATCTCCTCTCAGGCCGCCTCAGCACTAAGGTACATAAGCACTGGAAGGCCTCGCCCCCAAAGCCTCGTGATCTGCCCAGAGTCTGGCGGTGTTCAGAGATCCCGGGTCAGAAATAACTCTCTGGAGACAGGGCCTTTTTTGTTTTATTTCATTTCACAAACACAGTGAAAAAAAATTCTGCTAATAGGATTGCTAGCTCAGCAGGCCTAGGCAATGATTCTGAGGAAACAGGAAGCATCCCGGCACACCTGGAGATAGACTGCAAGTTGGGAATGATGACAGGCAAGCAGAAATTAATCAGGAGGGCTGCCTTTCACTAAAGGGTGGGAGAGAAGAGAGGGAGAGCAGCGTTCAGCCACCAGGAGCAACTCCTGTTGACTGTGTGTGTTTCTCCTGAGGTCCCTGTGGCTCCCAGGAGTAGGAAGCACCCCGTGGCTGTCCAGGCTGCCTGAGTGCTGGCAGCTCTGACCACATCTGTCTCTCTTCCTCCTTGAGCGGTGGCATTGGCAGGGAGTCTCTCTGGTCCAAGTGTGATCAGCTGGGGGCTTGTCCCTTACCCTACAGTCTCCCCTGGGGAGGCACCCATCTTTCTGGGCCAAAAGAAGCCCCTTCCATTAATCCTGGCCTGCCACCAGCAGCTCTAACTTGGGGCTGATGCGCCGCAGCCAGCATCCAAGCTGCTATCTGCCATCTCTCTGGCTGGGTGTCATGGGGATCTCCACACTGTGTCCTTCCTGGGCTTCTTATCTCTTGCCTCTGCCAGCAGCTGACTGTGGTGAGGAGCTGGGAGTGGGCAGGCTGGGGACCAGGAGGGAGGCAGCTGCTCTGAGGGAAGGCAGAGAGGTCCAGGCGGGCTGCACTCCCAAATGTGTGTACCTCCCAAGATCCCTCCTCTTGCAGGCCACAGACCTCCCTGGAAAGTGATCTGTGGCTGCTTACTTCTTGGGGTACAGAATAAACTCCTCAGGTGACATCCAGATCTCCGTGGTCTGATGATCTTACCCTTAACCTTACATCCTATGCTCAGGTGGAGAATTTTCCAGAATGCCCCATGCTCAAGCAACTTCACCCCCACTCTCCCTTTACTTGGAAAGTTACTACTCCTCCCTTAAGTCTTAGCTCCAGCATCATCTCCTGTCTGGCTCTCATAAG